CGGTTATTTGGTTCGTTTTGCGTGTGCCTACTTTCAAATGAACATCGCAAGAATGTGTATTGTGTTTTATCACATTTCGTTTCTTTGGCAATTTTTCTTTTTCTCTTCGTTAATCTATTTTCGTTCTGATCTAAATCGATACATAGCAGCGATAGAATGTGTGTTTCGATCTAAACAAATCGCGTAGTGCGCATGAATAGAAAGAAGACGACAGAGAGAGAAAAACGACGATTTTCACTAGTTCATGCTAAAAAGCGACATTACAAGCATGTAAAGTTCTTTTTAAAGATGTTATTTTGACCAAAAAGCAACTTTTTCGTGCTTATCTCATGGTATCGATACGGCTCGCGCAGCCCAAAACATATATGTGTCGACAAGTCGTCGCCATTGTTTCGACTCAATGTTCTTCTCTCGCTCGATAAAATAAACAAGTATACATTCAATCGTTACTTTTTGACTATTTTCTTCTTCTTCATTTCGGTTTGAAATTGTTTCCTATCCAAGTAATGGTCGATGTTCGTGCACTGCGATTGCGAACGAAGATGGCAGAAAATCGCGGCATCGATGTACAGAAATACGGACGAAAAATGCTTGTAATAAATAAAACAAGAACATTCGTACCGAGAGAGAGAGAATAAGAAGCATTTTTTCTTCAATTAATCTGAAAAATATTGTGTCCATAAAAAAATATGGGCCTTTTGTGTGTTTGGCCTCGGCAATCTCTCACTCTCTCTCTCTCATATTCGTGATTGGATGCAATTAAAAATTGCTACGTGGCATCAACGGCCGAATCACAACGAAACAAACACTTCCATCAACAGCAGAAATCGAAAATCACCGTTGAGTCGTTGCTCGATGTTTTCGTTCTAATCGAAATTATGACCATCGATATTGGCTCGTAATGCATTTCACCATACACACACACTCGATTAGGTCGCTTCGGCCGTTAAGCCTCGATTAGGTCGCTTTAATCACAGTTTAGAGTTCAATTGCGCAAAATGATTATTATGAGAGCATTACCGTGAAAACAGTTTACCACTGTTGTTTTCTGATCGTTTTCTTTAAATTGGCTCCATTTTCGGATTATTTGCGCTCGCTCGCGCGCTCACACCAATCCCAGTGCTAGGCCGGTATGGTCTCAAGTTTCATTATTTTATCGAGGCCCATACACAGCAGCCATCGAAGTATTATTTGAAGCAATTTATCGAAACCAAATAAATAGTCGGAATGGCACGGCACGGCAACTCAGCACATACAAATGGACGACGACGCCGCCGCCGTCCGATCTCAACAACATGGATTTTTCTCTTCCAATTTTGTGTGGTTTCGGTCGTTCGATTGCGCGCTCAAAAATGGGATCAATTTGTTGTGTGTTGGCATTGCCTGTGGTTGTCTCTTTTGTTCAATTTTGGCACTAGGCGTCGATGCTTCGCAATTTCTTCTCTTCGGTTTTTTTGCTTCTTTAACATCGTTGCCCATGCAAATTCCGTGTAAAATCATGGAGCGCACAAAACAAATCGCTCTATATATATATATTTTCCAGCGATTTGGCTATTATTCAATGTGCTCGCGTATTCGACAGAGACTAAAAGACCGAAAAAAAAAATTCTCTGTTGCGCTTTTATACCACAATTCTTTTGCAAACTGTTATTATTATTATTTTTATTATGGAAACAAAAAATAATGTGACTTTTTTCTTACATCGTGTGCCTGAGTAGAAAATGGAGAGAAAAGCATCCAGTGAAATTATTCTAGCGATACCGTTTGCGGCGATTTTACGTCCATAATATTCCATAAATATGTACCAAATATGAGGAGATACGCGGCGCAAACGTGCTATCATCATGTGATATGGAGAACAAAGCGGAAAACACCGAATTGTACACAGCCGTGTATTCCTAGAGTGGAAAAAAAGGAAAAAAAAACAAAGAACGCACACATTTATTTGCAATGATATTCAAGCACGGGACCAAAAAGCACACACGAACGATACAACAACAATAACAACAACAATAAAAATATAGAGAGATAAAAATCGAATTATGTGAACAGTTTAGTAATATAGACGAAAACGGTTAGTTTGCCAGTCGTCGGGCAAGATAGGTACAGTAGTATACAATAATCGTAATTGCAGCCGTAAAATAGAGAGAAGAACAGCATAAATTACAATCTTCTCTCGCTATATGTACAAAGGTTTGACTTTGTTTGGTTGTTTTTTTCTTTATCTACAGATGTATATCATTTTTAGTACAATCGGTGACCCATTTCCACAGCCTTCGAAGCGGCAACGGCGGCAGCAGCTGAGGAAGATGGCCAAAGTTGTTGCTGCTGCTGCTCCTCATCGTATTTCACGTTTTCATTGAAACAATGAATCAAATAATAATATCCATACCGATATTTACAAGTCGCAGCGAACCATTAAGTGGGCGACGAACGAATGGGCTGCTGTTGAACCAGCCGCATATGAACACCATCCAGACCACATCGCACAGAAGATGATCCAAGAGCAGAACAAAGCGAACGAAGCGAGAGAGAGAGAGAGAGAGAGTAGAGCTCTTAAAGGAAAAAAAACACAGCCACACTTTAATTCACCATTAAAAAGTTTATGGGAGCAATTGTGTTCTTTGATTTTTATCTTCTACTAATATGTACCATTTGAGCATGAGTTTTGTTTTTCATTCGGCTAACTATTTCCATTGTGATTTTTTTGTCTGTTTTCATCGACAACAACAACAACAACGAAGACGAAGAATGTTGTAAATATGGCTATTTGTGATGTATGGATACGAAACGAGAAATAGATATGCTATCGCGATGTTCCGCGAGATCCAACCCGAAGAGCTTGAAAAAAGAACAAGTAGGCAATTTCAAAATATGCGTTTCAAATTGTAATTGCCATTTTGGATGTCGTGAACTTCGTGTGGTGTGCATGTGTGTGTGTGTGTGGATTTGCGATGAAAGATCGATGATACAACGGCACAGTTAGATAGTTTAAATTCGACTTTCATTCAATACCGTTTGCACAAATCTGTTGACAGGAATCGCACACGTTCGCAAACGAATAAAAAAAACACCAACAAAATCCATGCAAATATTGCCATCGCCATGTTGATGACCGTTAAATCGGTACAATCAATTAATCAAACAAATGTAAGTTAACTACATTTAACCGGTTTCGACGATTATCTGAGCGCCGCTATCAGGTGAAAAGGTTAATGACAATTTCTCCATTTTTTTTCTCTATGCTCTGTGCTGTGCACAATACAACTAAATCTAATCATGATTTGATTTGGATTGGTTTGCCCTGAAGCGAACGCTATTCAAACCTAGATTCAAGCCATTCGTTGGAATTCTGATACTGCGTTCGATACAAATGCCCCCCTTTATCTTGTGCTATTATCAATTTGACGTGACCTCATCAGAATTTTGCTGATGCGCAAAGTTAAAAGAGAATCGTCTGCATTACGCAATAATAAAAATTGAAAATGTAGAAGCGTGGCTCGTGTGGTCGCGCTCGCCAGTGTGTCGATAACGGAATTATTATGTTCGAAAAACGGATTGCCTGGAATCTCTGGATAAACACAACCGAAAGCCATCATTAAGGCAACATTGTTGCGATGAGACGTGTGGATTGTTAGAACAAGGTTTGTGATAACAATCTCTCAAAATAGGCACAATCAAGTTCAAGACTAAGAGAAATGCTAACGTGATTATACGATCATGGGTGAGAAAAAAAGAAGCAAATGAGATTCAAAACATTTCCACATGCAGAATTGGCATTTGTGATGAGCGCTGCGTCATAATAGGCATCTACGTCTTAAGCATCTTTTATTCAAATTCATGAAGAGAGGATGGAATGTCGAAAGAAAAAAAAATACCGATGAATCGACGCCGGAGACCCCAAGTCGGGAGAATGATATAAATAACTATCGGGAGCAAAAAAAAAGCTAAATAAATATGGCACAACAAAAACAGTCTAACCGTTCCATCAATAGCCGAAGAATGACTGAAAAGAAAGTGGAGAATGAAAGACGTGCGATGAGATTTCAAGTTTTGTTGTATGGATATGCATGCGCGTGGCTCCGTTACCAATTTGACTATTCTATTCCATTCTCTACCACAATACCCTTTGCATAGCGTACCGCATACCATCTGCACTGGCTGAGAGCAATGGAATTGTATTGAAAAAGCTGAAAATGCTTTTGTGCGCTACCAAAGCCTCACAGCTCAACTTAGCACACAAACAAACACACAAATGTGGATGGAATCGCAAGCGCAAATCACATACTCGCTTAAAAATTCATAGATGTATAGTTTTGTTGTTGTATTTATTTCTCCTTCAACAAATTCAATGCTAAGCAACGCTACCGCCAGACCAATCCTATTGCTGTGTGCGCGCGCGTAAGAGACAACTTGATTCTTTCACCGTTTTCTTCTTTCATTCTACATTCTCCGTTCGTTTTGCCTTGCATACAAATTTGGTGCGACGCGGCACGATCGACGGCCTATGTGTGTGTCATTGTATAAGTGTTGATGATGAATTTTACTACTCTGTTCTTCATACATTTCCCCATTGAACAATATGAGTCGCTCACCTCTTTTTTTCCACTTAACATTCACCGCATCTCTTACTCACTCGCACCAACTCACAAACACACACACACACAGCTCGTTGCTCTATTCAGTTTCTATTCTATATTCTTAGCGCGCATACACAAACGGTTCTTGAGCGCGATCATAGTTGGCTTGATCATCGTAGATGGTTCGCTCGAGCGCTGAATGTGTATGTATGTGTTCTTTTTTTGTTGAGGCATCGAGTAGTAAATATGCTACGTGAATGGCAATGATCATGATAATGATTTTTTTTTCTGCCGTTCATACTACTCTTCTTGGCTCATGGTTGTGTCTTGAGCGCGTTTTCTGTGTGAAGTGTGTAAAGAGGGCATAAAAGCACCAACCATTCGTCATTTCAAAGTCATTGTCCATGATGCAACCGATGGTTCAACATCACTCTTGTACACTCGACATCAGCTTCAATCAGTTGTTTTACCTACAATTTACGCTTCCAAGTGAAGAAGTACTGGAGTGAAAATCTCATTTTGTCATCAAGTTTTTCGGTGAATTGTCGGATTTTGGTTTATTTCGGTTTGTGCAGTGAAAACAGTGAAAATTCAAATCGAAAGACATACAAACATTACTTCTGGTTTTGGATGTGCCACGGATTTTTCCATTAACTTTCAAAAAACTTTGACAATTTTGTTTTTATTGTGCAAACATTCAAGTGCAAAAGTGCTGCAATCGAGAAAGAAAAAAGAAAATTGGTGATTGCATTTTTTTATCTGTTTTGTTTTTGTTTTCGAAAGCTGAATGCACCGAAGCAAAACCGATTTTTTAATCACAAAATAACAAACATACACACACCGAATCATTGAGAAGGGAAAAGAACAAATAGTTTTTTTTCTGTTTGTTTCATTAGAGTCGTGAAAATTGTTTCACCATTTCACTGCAAAAATCGTGACTATCGCCTGGATATCGCGTGCGAAAATATTCCGCTGACGACCCAATAGTTGAATTACGATTTATTGCCGCTGATTTTTCCGATTATTATTGCTATTTGGAGAAAAGAACGTTAAATCGTGTGATTGTGGAATATAAAAAGAAACGATAAACAATATCTGGTTGGTGTGCTGAAGTGTAATTGCATTGAACGAGACATTTTTTTTTCGTTGAGCTGAAATCGAGCGAGAGAAAATTGGTTGATTTATGTGTGTTTAGTAACAGGTGAGTTAATCCCAGCATTTCATTGAAAATCATTCAATCAATTTTCAGCGATTTGAACCATCGAATTTCAACATTTACATCTTGTTCCACTTGATTGATCGCACAAAATCCATACTCTCGTGCCATATGCTTCTCCATCACTTAGTTCCAGCGTCGTCGCAAGTCGAGCCATTAAAATTTTACACATTCTGCGGGAATACCTTAATTAATTCGGTTTCACGGTAGTGTTTCTACGTTAATTAAAACTGAAATAACAAACATTTCACTTTGCAGTAATTGATGAACCAAATCCATTGGCGTCACGATCGCTATTCCATCCCGCACACGATTCAATATATGAAATTGGCCAGAACGTGTAAAAGAATGTTCTTCATTCCATCAGTGTTGGCTACAGATGTTGAGATATTTTGTTTTTCATTTCTGTGAGAAGTTCAAAACACCTTCGATCATTGTTCAACCGATTAATGACGATGACGGTGAAACGGTGGTAAAAACGGTTCACCTCTCTGTATACACATATCAATCAAATGAAGCAGAATGTGAAACTTCAAGCCCGTTTTACATTCGATCGTTTCTATCGAAAATCGTGACTAAATCCATCTTCATACCCGCACTGCATATGGTTTTCATCTCATTTCAGAAAAAGTTTTACCGTCATCTCAGAAACCGTTTTTCCTGCCCAAATCAGAATTAATTTTTCAATGCGATGCGAACGGCATTAGGCATCGAATAGCCACCATCGAATGACCATCAACACACATACAGACCATTTTCAATTAAGTTGTTTGACAAGTGCTCACTTTTTATTTCGTGTATTGTGTTGATTTTTTCGGGTTTGAAGAGTACACATACGGGAAAATGGTGTAATGGATGCTCGCGCGGTCGGTCAATGGCTGGCGGCTAGACAGCATTTATGACCAAATAAACAGACAAACGTCCGTTTATTTATTCGCTTCAAACTGAAAATAGACATGCCATTAAATGTTTGTGTGCATTTTATTTTGTTTATTGGCGGCTTTTGTTTTGTTTTGTTCTGATTGAAATGAAATGGAAGAAAATTACACGTAATTGAGTTTGTCCGAGAAGCACATAGCCATCGTAATTTTGTTATCAAACAAAATCGTTCAATCAAAAGAGAGAAAAAAAAGAACGGTTCTATTGCTCGTTATTATTTACTCGACCCGTGATCAAATATCAATCCAATTAAGTGAATGCCGTAATAATTTCTCTCACCAAGAATTGGATGGAAGGTCGACAGAAGAGAAAGAGCAAAGGCAAATGGAATGAAGGCGCGACCGTTTGGATTCTAAGTCGAGTGGCTGAAATTCCAATTAAATTCTATTCGATGGCATTACAGAAAACGCCAATCAACTGACAAAACCGGACAATAAACCCATCCTGTCGCCATTTAATCTGCCTTCGTAGCAGATTTTCATACTTACACTTGAACACTTCCGTCATGCATTTCAAATCGAATGTGTTGGTATTCTTTTGTCTTCTTCTTTCTTTTGCAACTTTCAAATATCGCAGCGGTGCTGGAGATGCTTGAAAGCGCAAGCATTCTATCGCTGCGAAAAGAATTTAAATCGCGCCAGAGCAAAACATTCATTTATCAAAATCAGTGAAAATAGTATTTCACAAGCGAAGCGAAAAACAATGAAAAACACTTTCTACGATGATGTTTGAGCCATCCGAAAGTTTGTCTGAAATAAAAGTGCCAGTCTAGCGTTAGTCTATTCATAACAAGTGGCATTGTCACAATTATCATTGCGATAATTTATCACATACTCAACGAACCGGTCATGAAGTGAGTACGCGAAAACCGGGCCATTTTGGCCACATGTTAGCATGGAAGCAAATTCACACACAAAACACGAAATAAAAGAAAGAAAATGAAATTCTTGGCACACATTCGGTTTTGGCAACGGAAACCACTTTTATAATCAAATCAAATAACAAAGCAAAATGAAACTTGCGCACGCACTTGCAAATCGGGACACAAGACCAAGAAAGTCAAGCGTGCTACAGCAAAGGCAGCAAAAGCAGAGAAAAAGCAACAATTTTAGTGTCGTTGCAGATCGTAATGAAACAGAATCTGATATACATACACACGATTCGTGCACGTTATTTGTGTGACTCGGTGACTCGCCAGTTTCATCTTCAGATGTTGAATTTATTTGCTACGTATTCGCCATCAGACCATTGTTTATTCATTGAATGAATGAATAACACGAGAAAATATCCAGCTGAAATTGGAATGAATGAATGAACTCTGTACACGTGCATTGTAAAAGTCATTTAATTTGTTGCTAAATTATATATTCGCGATCTGTGAGCATGTCATCCCAGCTGATCTTTAACTCATGCGAAACAAAGCAAAAATCATAATAATTTTCTACTCGAAACAAACAAGTGATCGAATTAAACTGGGTTAAATGCGAGCACTTGTATTGTATTGTGTCCGTTCTAATGTAAATTCAATGGATAACAGCGAGAAAAAAAAAACGAAACTGAACATGTTCCTGCTACGACCTGCATACACGGGACTCTCTTCACATCGAGCGAAATCCCATCGTATCGGATTTGCAATGAAAAAGCAAAGCGCACAGCAAGTGAAGAGTGAACAAGGCCAAGAACAATTGTTCGAAAGAGGGGGGAAATTAAATATAAATCAGGGCACGAAAGAACAGCCGCAATTAGTGCAATTTGAATAAGACAATAACATCAACGACTTGATGTTGTCGACGATGAAGACGACCCACTGTTCTGCTGAACGCAACCAAGTCATTTGCGTACCCATGAACACAGGCCCAAAGTATTGGTACTCTGACATAGAAATCAAGCAAAATAGACACACAAGTGATTGGTGCCGGTACAAAGGCTGCAGTCTGCATCCATTATACGCATACTATAATTAATTTGAGATTTGCAATCGATATTTTTCAGTTCGGAAATAAACGTCAATCGTAAAATAACTATAACAGTCATGGATTGTCCAACTGGACAACTCGCTAAGATTTCTGTGTGCCGCTAGCACATAGAGAAGCGATCGCTCTCACACCATTCGAACAATTCCAAAGAACTAGCCACATCGCATTGTTCTGATATACCGAAAAAAAAACATAACAACTACAACAGCAAGCGAAAAAGAAGAAAAAAAATTAATTCCATTGACAAAGAGTGCATTTAAATTATGCGTGTCTTCCTTTTGTTTTCTCAATGTATTTTGCCTCGTGTTTTTTATGAGTAATTTAGATGTCAGAATGGACGAAGGCACGAAGAAAAACACTCTTCGCGTATGCAGTGGCTGTCTGTGTTTATTAGCAGTAGCGACTAGAATTTTGAATAATTCTATACAAAATTAATGAGATTGTCCATATGTATGTAGAACAAACGAACGAACGAACGAACGAACGAACGAACGGAAAAGAAAACAACAGATACATCGATTGCACGCGCGAGTGCGCTCTATGTGAATGGAACGAATAATGCGTTTGGGTGCAAGTCAACACTCAAATAGTACAAATCGTCTTCGTCGTCTTCATCATCATCATCATCGCTCACCATCGTCGAGCCCATCATGCAGTCACAAGTGTACAACACGCAGCTCACATACACCTCACTCACAAACCCAACACATCCGCACCATTCTCCAATCCATTCGAACAAATGCACAATTAATTAAATTCATGTTTTGATGTTAAACAATTTTATTTATAGTTTTCTTCTTCCTTTTTTGTCACACATTTGTTGATGCGCTATCAAAAGATGGTGGATAAGCATATGTAATGATACGAATTGCGTGCCTTAACTATCAAATGATTCGGATGTGTTGAGATGCTGAATATCTGATTTTTAAATCTTTTTTTTCTCCTGTTTTTTTACTTCTGTTCATCGGTTGAGTGGAGATTTTTATCGGAAATTGCAGTTGGTGCAATGACAAAATACCTTTGAAAGATCGATCGAAACGATTTTTTCCCCCTCACTGGCTGTTCTTATCGCTGTCCGCTTTTTTATGCTGATCAATTTCCAATTTATGCACATAAATACAAATAAAAACGGAGTACAACATCGACAATATAGAAAAGAAGAAAAAAAGAGCGAGTGAATATCATTCGTAACGCAGCCAATCAAATGGTGAGTGCGTTCTCATCGAAAGAATGGAACACAAATAGCAGCGCACCACAAAGAAGCAACAGGTGTAAACGTAGCGCCGATTTGAAAACAATTTTTCTTTCAATTCGTTGCTATATTGTTCTCTCTCGACAATTGTGAAATCAATCATCGATCATCAACCATGAGTTTGGACACCACCACTGGAATAATGAGCTGAATTAACGAATCTACAGCAGCAACAACAAAAATCCATATACAGAATTTCCTGTGCATCAGTTCAGTAATTGATTTTGATTAAACTCATCTCGTTGTATCCCCACAGAAAAATAATGACTTTTTTCTGTTTCCTCCGGATTGTTCTGAATCCAGTCAATTAAATCGAAATAGGGAATATCCGAAAGATTATTCATTCCGTTTGAAAATTCTATTTTTAAATATTTCGAGATTTTAAGAGCGACAATCAATCGAGATGGGTTTGACTTATGTGTGATATGTTGCTCATAACGGGTCCATCACTATTTATGGCTATCTACGATTTATGGTTCATCGAAACAAATGCGTGCCTTTATATGCATATCAATTGGACGAAATGGGTATTTCCATCGAGATAACGGCAAACGGCGAGACAAGCGAGAAAGAAAGAAAAGAGAAAAAAAATCACAGAGACAACAACGAGCCAAAAAAAAAAAAAATGCTGTTCAAACAGTGAAACATCCAAAAGTGGTATTTATTTGGAAAACAAGCAAACACAAATATTGAGAATATCATTACCTTTCATCTCTCGCTGTTATTTGCTCTCAGCATATATTTCTCCGGCTTTTTCTTCTTCATTTTGCTCGTTTGTGTGTATGGTTTTTTGTTTCTTCATTTGTTCGTGTTGAAAT